ATATATATGCATAATACAGTCAGAGAACCGCATAAAAAGTTTCAAAAAATATCAGGAAAGCTCATTTCTATTGCAGTATTCACAGGGTGGAATCTGCTCAACATTTATCCAAATCACTTGTTTTACACAAGCTTCCTGCAGTTACTGGATTCACTGTTTGGGATAATTGTACAGTTTATCAGTTGCTGTGTGTTGTTATTGTTATGCATTTGGTATAATATGAAATATTAATAAAATATGTCACTTAGTGAGGGGTCATCAGTGTACTCAATGATTAAAACACGGGGTCCCTTAAAAAAAAAGGCTGGGAACCAGTTATCTGGACTTACTTTACCCTATTTGGAATATTTGCTTTCTAGTTTGTTCTACTGACTCATTCTTTTGCATGTAAGTATCACTCTATTATAGTTTTATTTTATTGAAATGATGCTATGTCATCAGTGACACTTCTATACTCTATTACACATCTGATTATACTACTAAATTAAGTCTTTAAATGTATTGTTATTATTGTAATGAGTGTTATTTGTAAGTTTATTACAATGTATTGTAAAGACTTTTACACAGTTGTCCAATTTTCTGTATATTGGATCAGATGTCGAGTCGTGTGGAACCAGAGGTTCTTTTGGAGAGAGTGGGGTGCGCAGGTGTGATCACTATAAACAGACCCAAAGTCCTAAATGCCCTCAACCTGACCATGGTCCAACAGATCTACCCTCAGCTCAAGGTACAGTATGTGGAAAGCATGGTTAATACTAACTTCAGCTGGGTCAAATGTCAAGGCCTTCAGTGAGTCAGGTGTCATTTTTTATAGCAGTGTGTTACTGATCATAAATGGCTGCCAATGTCTCGCTTAGTTTGACATCATCAAAGTTGTGATATTATTGAGAGTTGGATAGATTTGCTTATAAACCTATTCAAGAAAAAAAAAATTCTGTTAACAGTTACATCCTTGTACTGTACACGTTATTTAACGCCAAACTGCCACAGTTATGTAACAGCTGAGGAATGTTATTACTTTAAATCCCTGAAAAAGAATCAGTAGCTTTGATGAAATTGGATACCAGAAAACACATAAAAGATTTCCAAAGACTGATACAGTCACGCTTCCCATCGAATAAAAATTGTCCCCCTTTACCCGGAAATGTGAGGACACATCTTTTATATCATTTGTTGTTTTAATATCCTAAAATTCATCCAGTGTACCACACATTCTAAAGGTGATGTCTTTAGGGTCTCACTATTAAGTTTCTGTTTTGAGTGTCCAAACTTTTACTGAAATTGTGCAGAAATCTGTTTCAGATAGTTATACATGACATAAACATTTGTTCATAATGATAGTTTCCTATAAATTTGCTACTTCTTTGTGTGATTGTAGAAATGGGAAAATGACAATGAGATTGACATTGTGATCATCAGAGGAGCAGGTGGGAAGGCCTTTTGTGCTGGTGGAGACATCAGAGGTAAGCCATAGCCTTGAAGGTTCAAACGCTGTGGTCTGTGTAGCCCCAGTCTCATGTATTAGCATGCATACAGATCACAGAGGTAAACACCAATTTCCCCTGGAGGGGGTTGTCCATGTTCAGATCCTGAATTTGAGGAAATTGGGCCTGGAAAGTCTTTGAAAAGTCCTTGAATTTGATGTTTAAGAAGGAGTGGAAACCCTGGCCTCTGTTTTCTGAAACAAATGAAGATGGCAGCCCGCCAGCTACTTGAATAGGAAATAGACTCGCAACTTGGGAAATGGGTTATACATTTCTTTTATCTTGTGATATGGATGGTTTCCTCTGTGACCTGAATGTACTACGTAAAAGATACAAAGAGGGCTAGGAGAGCTTTTATGGGCAACATTGTGACTGTCACTAAAACATGTTGCTTCATGAATGTTTCAATCTGTTTCTTCCTCTCAGCGGTCACAGAAGCAGGGAAAGTTGGAGACCCTCTTGCAGAGGATTTTTTCCGTGAGGAATATATTCTCAACAATGCTATTGGTAAGTGCCACAAGAACAATTACACCTGTATTATCAATTATATCTGTTATGTATGGGTACTTGTTCTCTTCTAGTCACACTTTATACATTTCCAAACACCCAGGTCTCTGCTTTATCAGTTTGTATTTTAAAATCAGTTTGTCTTTATTTTCACACACTTTATTTTATCTTTCAAGGATCATGCAGGAAACCATATATTGCCCTAATTGAAGGAATAACAATGGGAGGGGTGAGTACATTTATGTTTAATGTATTTAAGTTTATGTTATATGGTTGGGTTAACCATACACAATGACACTGCATTAAAGTCTTCACTTTCATCCTAGTGTTGAGGATCAAAGATTTGTTTTGTGCAGTTATGCACCAGTGTTGCTCTCTCTTGTGCCTGTAGGTGTCAGTAGAGATCTATGTACTGCTGTCACCTGCTGCTGGTGGCAAGGTGGCCTCTGATTGGATGAAATAGGAAGCGACAGAGCTTTGTTGCTGCCACTGTTTTTTCCCCTCCAGGTGTCAGATATGTTTTGAATTTGAATTGGTACCTTTGCCCCATATTATGCACGATGGGACATAATTCAGACAGAGCTGCACAAATGCTCATTTATCCAGAATGACCTTGAGTGTAAAGGTCTGTAATTTATTAATATTGTCTCATGCCTGGTCAGAGAGTATGTCTGGCTTTTAGACGAGTCTGTTCTTTATTCCATCTCATGACCTTGACAGTGATTTTACTTCTGAGGTGTCACTGGGGGCGCTTACAGCCACCAGTACTGTATCTACTGGGTCATTACTCATCACGCCTGTGTGTGTGTTAGTGTGTGTGTCGTGTGGCACAGAGGTGTATGAAGACCAACAAGCCCTCTTATACAACATTGAACCTCACTGTTCAAATAGTGGCCATCAGGGTGCGCTCTATACTATGGTACTCCTTAAATCTCTTGGGGAGTACTTTTACAGCAGTATGTAGTACAAGTCAGTATCTCGATCTGGTGGCTGTGTCTTTAATGTTTTATGGGTTGTTGTTTTGTTTTTCTGTCTTTTTGATTTCAAAATTAACATTTCTCTAAGTTTTATGCTCATGTTTGGCTGCTCCTTATTATACTTAATACTTCTGTGGTGTTATTTTGGATGGGAAGTATTTGATACTAATGTTCTTAAACCAAGTTTAAAGCTTACATTTTTCACTTTTACTTGTAATGTGCAGACTGTTTTAACAAATTTGTCCATCACCATGTATGAGTGCACATTTTAATTGCATTCTGTCTGAGCACACTGGTATGACTGGTTGAGTGTGAAGTGATTTCTCCTGTTTCTCGTGTTTTCCTGTACATGTAGCAGTGCACTGCTTCATCTCAGCGAAGGCTAAAAGCTGGAGAACAATGAGTCGGACAGGTGTTTGGGTTCAAAGTCTAAGGGGCACACTGATTTATTTGATAGCTATGGAAGGAGTTTATTATGCTGATTAGCAGGGTTTTTATCCCCAGTAGTAATCCTCACAACTGTTAATATATACTATCTTTTAATATATGGGATATGAGGTTCGGACCAGCCTTGCACAAAAAGAATTAGCTGAAATGAATCAGAGGACGATTGTTGATGTCAGGGAATGCAGAGATAAAATAAGTTTGTTGATGTTTTGTATTGAGTGTCTGTCAGGTGGAAGAAAAGGTGTTAATCTTTTTACTAGCCACTGTTACCCCTATGGGATGCTAGCACTATGTGATGCTTTCACAAACTATAATGAAAAGTTATATGAATATGTAATATACAAGGACTGTTTATAGATTATGCACACTTTTTTTAGTCGTTACCTGTAGTTTTAATAACAGCCCTTTATTTTAAAAACAATTCAGAACAAGCAGAGTAAACAACTATAACCTTAAAGCTGCAACAATTGATTTTTTTTTTTTTTTTTAGCTTTAACACTGCATTTCAAAGTGCTATCTGATAGAGGTGGTGAAATTTTAATATTTTGTGATGTAAATGTCTCGCTTTTTATTTTCTGTTGGCTTTGCTCACAGACAGCTGGCCAGATGCATTAACATGTGGAAATGTGCCCACTGCCCAGTCTCCATTCTTCATGGGTTTCTTGGCCGCTGTGCACTGCACACCACCCGGGTTGGGAGAGAGCGAACATCAGCTAACTAGTGGTCCCGCTCATTTGGTGATTACAGCTGGTAATGCCATCCTGGTGGCAAAATGTGTTGCTGCAGAAACAGTGCCCACCCCCTGTCTTCCCCCAGCTTGCTCTGGTGAGTAAGTGGCTTCAATTTGGATCGTAAAACCCTTTAAGCATTGTTTACGATGTTAGCACCACTAGCCGTGCTAACACTGCCAATGGTGGTAACATACTCAACAATGCCAAAGGGGTTTGATGGTTCAAAATTGAGCTGTTTTCTCACTGGGATGAGCTGGGGGCAGAGGGAATGTGGGCATAATGTTTCTGCAGCAATGCTGTTAGATCGGGACAGCATTACTACCGATAATGGCCGAATGAGCAGTGCTGCTAGCCAGGTAGCGCCTAGCAGACCGAGGTGATGTGCAGTGAACTGATCTACGATGGCAAAGAGCAGCAAGATTAACCTATAGGCCGATGTGTGCAACTGGAAACTGAAAGTGAATCAAAACAGTTAAGTAGACGGCCATAAAAACATTGATTAGTGCAGCTTTGAAGATATTTTGTTTCCCTACCTCCATAGCAGTCTGCAAGGGTCTGATGATCTAAAATAGCCCACTTGGTTTAATTTAGACAGGCCACCCACAAAAGAGGGGTGGGCTTTGACGGGTCAAACTTTGGACTGTGATGTTACTGGAACTGTTGTGTCGATCTCAGAATGTTCACTATTTCTTGGGCTGACATGTACCAATGTGTACATTTTCATAGAAAATGACCAGCTTGTTCTTTGGCCTGCTCTGGACTGCCAACACAGAAAAGCTGCCCTTTTTGTCAGTACTTTCAGCATAGTAAACATTTCACACTGTGGAATTCACAGGGGGATTAATCGTAGAGACTGTGAACCAAAAACAATCATCTTGTTTGCTTGTTTTTCCTGTGTTTAGACAGCCATGATAACAGCAACACTCCCACTTACCATTTTCCTCTCCAAGAGAGACAGCAGCTATAATTTATTTGTCAGAATAAAACTGAAAAAACAATGTAGGGTCACAGCGTGCAGTAATGGATGCGAGGGACAGCTGAATGCTTGGTTCTGATCTACTGAATGTTTGTGGTACAAGTCACTTCCATTCATCATCCCAGTGGAAAACCTTAAAAACCTCCTTTGCACTTCTTATCACACAATCTTTTTCTTCTTCTTTTTCCTGTGGGTTTATGGCCCTGGCAATAAAGTTATTTGAAGTACAACTCCTATCTGTCATGTCAGTACAGAGGAGACACTAATGTTGACACAAGCCATCCTCAGGCTGATTGCTGTTTAATGTGTGTAGTGGTTGAAAACAGGCTAGTTCTATATATGGAAAAGTCCATGAGGCACCGGAGTCCCTATTCCCAGATCTGCTCTGAGCTCGGGGCAGAACTCCCAAGTCGAATGAGTATTCTTGCATCAGTGATAACAAACCACCAGGGAGTAAAGGCATGTCCTTAGCAGGGTAAAGAAGACAGACACACACAAACACACTGTCTTATCTGTTAGCCTCTCTCTGACATCAGCGGAATCTCATCTCATGCACATCATTCATCGCTCTCCAAGTTTAAAATCCCCAGAATTAAGGTCTGTGAATGCTCAAGTGTTATTAATCTGTGTCTGCTGTGCTTTGCATTTGAGCAGACACTGCTGTCTTTTTAGCATGTTTGAGTCTGCCCTCAAAATTTCATACAGTGGGTTCTAGGGTTGATTGAAAACTCACAGCCATTCCTGAGGACTTCTCTTTGTGATAAAATTGTTTGCCTGATTTTATTTCTTTTCACTTTCATTTATTTTATTTATAAGGACAACACACATTAACCAACATTTGAAAATAAAATGACAAAGGTGAAGGTGAAAATGACAGTCTAGTTATGAAAATGTCATCATAATTTTATTTCTTTTGCAAGTTAGACAGTGTGCAGGATATTGTCTGCAAATTGCGTCCTCCTCTTCCCTGTCTTGGATGTGCGAAATAGACTTTTGTTCTTATACAGCAGACACCTTGCACTTAGAGCACACTGCTTTTAAGGCGGTTTGTAGTCACTGCAGCATAGTCGCTGCCCAACTGATGGATATTTGTTGGGGGCTGTGTGACTGTAATCTCTTTCCTTCGGAGAATGGAGCTCTTGTTTGCTAATGTCCACATCATCTAATGAGAAGACTAGAGTGAGAGCCAAAAAAGACCTCAGGGCAGATTTGAATCCCTGCATTAAGGTTCTCATCTTCCAGAGCCTGTGCAGCGCTTGTTTTGAAAGTGAATACTTTGTGCAAGAGTGATGTGGAAAGTAATTTTCAAACAGACGTCACTTTCTCTTTAAGTGTTTATAACTGTTATCTGTCACTTGTGTCTCTTCACACCAACTGGAAGGCTTCTGCATTATCCACACATGCCTTCCCACTCTCACACACAGTGCCACCAATCATTTGTGATTTAGCAAAACTTGCTTCCTATGCAAAATCTAAAACATTACATTATTAGGGAGAGGTACCGAGATTATGATCAGAGAGCAGAGATGTGGAAAGTGATGCAGCTACTCTACACCATTTCAATGGATTTCACCCCACCTGTTCTATCTATATTTATATGCAATAAACCAAATATCATGATGAGGAGGTTGTGAAGCCCTCCATATTCTTAGCCAGTGTAAACTCTCCTAGCCAGGTTGTAAATTTTGCGATACATTCTGTTTGTAAGCATTAGCTATAAACATGCTCGTCGGCACACTTTTGCACATTTCCACTGTTTACAGCAGGATCTAGGGACATGTTCTTATATGGTGTCTGGTGGTACCACACCAGCACATAACAATATTCCACTACTTTTATGGTAAAACTCTTGTAATGTGGGATTGAACGGTCTCTCATTCCTCTGGGTGCATCCAGTGATCATGACAAGAAGACTGTTTACTCCTTTTCCCCGTTTCTTTAATTGCAACAAATGTTGTCTCAGGTTGTGTTATTTCTACACTTTGTGGAGATGGCTGCTGAGGTTCATTTATTAAATTACATTTTAAGTGCACTCCATTTTACATGGCTCATTCTAATAATAGATAAAGACAAGAGGGACTATGGATTGTTTGCTAAA